ACAACAGATCCAAGAACGGTCTCACCCCTCCGATCCGTGAGTAAAACCCTCGTGTTTTCTCTCCCTTGGGGAACTCTGTAGATTACTTTTATCAGAAAACACTTGGATTTCTGCATTTAGGGAAGAGAATCAGTCTGATGATGATGACGGGACCGTTTATATAACTCCTCTGAATGGAGGGGTTCGGGTTGCAAACTGTAACTTGTACCATTTGCATAAACCCTGTCCCTCCATCTGAAAAACGGCGAGCATGTTTAGCCACTCTACGTAACGTTCGTGGATGAACGTGCGTTAATGATGCGTCATGTTTTGTACGGCTGTCAGCAGTCCGTCCCTCAACCGCCGTCATGCGTCGCGGGAATGTTTTCTGTGTGACCCCGGGCGAGACTTGAGCTGAAGGCGAAGCATGTGACAGCTGATGACGCGGTAAGCTGCGCGTTTGACGTCGCTGTGCGAACGTTGAAAGGCGGAGGGCGTAACTTCATTTACACCGTGCTGTTGGAGTGAAGGCTGCTTAGCGTTTAAGCTGCGGTGAGCTGCCGAAAGCTGAGAGAGAAGGACCCCCACCCGGACCAGCCTGCGGACCACATTTATACCGATGTGAGCTGGTTAGCGCCGGCAGCTGTGTGCGCCAGCATCAACGCAGCACCGTTGAATGGAGGCTGTCATCTTAGTGTTCGACTCGTCATGTCAAGAGCGGCGGTGAATTAAAAACCCTATTTAAGGACACCGGCTCATGTGGAGGCTGTTCCATCCCACAAATGCGAGTTGACACCGCTTGAGTGAGGATCATGCAGTTCTAGTTGGTAATGAGTTATTTTCGCTTACCGTTGTGCCGTGATCGACCCGTCATGTCTAGAGCGACGGTGAGTTTAAAAACCCTTTATTTAAGGACACCGGCTCATGTGGAGGCTGTTCTGTGATCGACTCGTCATGTCTAGAGCGACGGTGAGTTTAAAAACCTTTAATTAAGGACGCCGGCTCATGTGTGGAGGCTGTCCTGTGATCGACTAGTCATGTCTAGAGCGACGGTGAGTTAAAAACCTTTAATTAAGGACACCGGCTCATGTGTGGAGGCTGTTCTGTGATCGACTCGTCATGTCTTAGAGCGACGGTGAGTTAAAAACCTTTATTTAAAGACACCGGCTCGTGTGTGGGGCTGTTTCATCCCACGAGTGCGCTCTTATGTGTGCGGCTGCTGTGAGCTGATCCGGGCTTACAGACTGGCTAAAAAACAGACACTTGGATCATTAATGATGATTTATTTCAACTTTCGTGTCACTTTTACACACACCCTCCGGAGACCGTCATTTGAGAGCTTTCTCTCTCATGAGCTCTGCGATTGTTTGCCCAGAGCGCTGTCTTGCAGGCGAACTCTGGGGAAACGCTGAGCTGCAGGCTGCCGGAGTGCAGAGGGCTGGATTCTGACGGGCGGGGCTGGTGGTGGAACTCAGCGAGAGCCGCGGCCGTGGAAAAGTCGAAAACTTGCTCGCGACGGTCCCTCCAGCGGGGACGGGGTGGGCCGCGCGGCTTGATGAGGTGGCGAACAGCTTTTGGCACCTCCTCCGACTGTTTCACTTCGCCAGCATGGTTTGAAGCTGCTCTGAACAGCGCGTCCGCGATGGGCTTCATCAGGTCTTGTGCAGATTCTCCGGCAGCGAGGGGAGTAACGAAGCCAGGTGGATCGTTGGGTCATCGTCCTCCGCGCTGCAGTCCCCGACAAGGCAAACCGTGGGAGAGGCACACATGTTGAGCTGGCGTCAGCTGCTTTACAGAGGGAGATCTTCGTCTCCAAGGCAGGTCTGCAGCCTTCAATCCCTTGGACATGCTATATGCTAGCAGCGCACGTTGTTGCTAGCTGCGGCTGCCTGAAAAAACACATCGGTGGGCTCGATTGGAGAGCGTGGTCGCCGTCTGTGTTCCTCCGGAGGGACGGGACGCTGCTCCGACCTGGGCAGCTTCGCTCCGGAAGCTTCCGCGAGGCTTGGCTCCAGGGGGGGGTACCGAGGAATAGCGTCAGCTGCCTTACAGAGGGAGTTCTTCGTCTCCAAGGCAGGTCTGCGGCCTTCAGTCCCTTGGACATGCTATATGCTAGCAGCGCACGTTGTTGCTAACTGCGGCTGCCTGAAAACACGTCGGTGGGCTCGATTGGAGAGCGTGGTCGCCGTCTGGTTCCTCCGGAGGGACGGGACGCTGCTCCGACCTGGGCAGCTTCGCTCCGGAAGCTTCCGCGAGGCTTGGCTCCAGGGGGGGGTTACCGAGGAATAGCCCCGCTCGGTGAATCCCTCAACTCTGGTGATGGGAGCGGACTGGGGACCGACTCCTCTAATCTACCAGGAAAGAACCGTCTGCGGCCTCGCCCGTGGAACGTCCTGTTGGAACGCGAGGCCGTATGGATCAAGACGGTGAGCCAGAGTGGAGCCCAGTGAAAAATAACCTTTCCGCCGATCATCCGAACTGGCGGGAAAAGGCGAGGGACGTAGAAAAAAAGGGGTCCCTTCATGTCAGCCTCCTCCTGGGTTCCGCCGGGCAACCCCTGAGGGCGCCGTCGGCCGGGAGCGGTGTGATCGCCGATGCGAAACGAGGTGGGATGGGGTGAGCATTCACTCAGCCCCCCTCCACCTACACTACGCTCCCCAGGAGGGAAAGAGCAGCGGGGCTGCAGCTGAGCACACCTTGCCCCGGAGGAACCATCCGGTTCGCCCCGAGGGTCGGCGATAAGAGGAAAAACACAAGATGGCGTTGTCCAGCGTGTAGTGACCTGTCACTGGGAAATGTTCCACGACGCTTACCTTGGAATAAGACTGCTGTCATCTTCTCCTCGGGGAGGAGAACTCACCGGACGACCGGAGGTCGACTGCCGGGCCAAGCATCTTTCGCAAAGGTTGGTCATTTACACAATTTATCTTCTTTGTTCTTCTGACAGTGCTATATTAGCTCGCTGAAGAAAAAATGGGAGCCGATTTCCCGCTCTTAACGTAATTTATACGGACCGGGTGGGGCCCACACAGCAGGTGGGCGTGGACTAATTTTTTTCAGTGCTTATGCTCTGCATAACGGGATAAACCCACTAAAGCGAAGGCCTTAAAGGGCGAAGCTTATACGACATAGAACAGCAGATTGTGTTGAATCTTCACTTCGTCGCAGTCTCCCATCCTGAGCTAGCACGTTGGTGACAGTGGAAAGGAAAAACTCCCTTTTAACCAGAAGAAACCTCCAGCAGAACCAGGCATCTGCTTCGATTGTCTGGGGTTTGAGAGAACAGGAAGGATAAACAAACAAACACAGCATGGCAGATCCAGGTGTACTTTCTATAGTTAGTGGGAGAGCTCATCTCTCTCCAGTTTTAGCTTTTCTCCACTGGCTCCCTGTCAAATTCAGAATAGAATTAAAAATCTTACTTCTAACCTACAAAGCTCTCAACAACCTAGCTCCATCTTATATTACAGATATTATTATTTCATACTTTCTTTACAGAGCACAATGCTCTCAGATTACAGGTTAACTTGTGGTTCCTAGAGTTTCCAAAAGCAGAACGGGAGGCAGATCTTTCAGTTATCAGGCTCCTCTCATGAGGAACCAACTTCCAGTTTCTGTCTGTGAGGCTGATGCATTGTCTACTTTAAAGATTAGGCTGAAGTTGTTCCTTTTTGATAAATCCTCCTGTTAAGACTCTGGCAGCAGCATTTTGGATCAACTGAAGATGTTTAAAATATTTTTTTGGTCACCGAGATATTAAATAATCTTATCTAAATCATCTTTTAATGCAATTAGTTTTTAACAAGTCCATCAAGATAAGAATCAAATGAAAGCTGTTTTTGCAGTTGTGGAGTGGCACAGACTCACCTGAGAAACTTACAGTTTTAACAGAAGCCATTACTTGTCCTGCTAATTATTAACTGTCATCTAAGCCATATGCACCCCTCCCCCCCCCCCCCCCCAAAATTAAAAAAGGTGTTGACAATCTTGGGCACATTAGCATAATTTAGCAGGCAGATATTTTCACAGTGTCAAAACAAAGAGACGGGTTGTATTTAGTTTCTGGCCCAGCACAGTCAGAACACATTTGTCTGTTAATCCTGACAATTCAAGGGCACGTTTATCAGCTGAGATTTTGAATGTTGACAAGGACACTTGATATATTTCTGTCTAATTTATCTCAAGAACAACATTAAGTATGAGTCTCGAGCGAAGGAAACATACATTTCATTATTTCTATGAATTCAAGTGTTTGCTGTAGTTATTGGGCTACATTTAGTGCTCTGTGGGCGTCTGCTTTCTGTTGTTAGCTATAAAAGTATTCTGTACTAGAGTCAGGATCTTACATGGATGTGTTTCTCCATCCAGGATGAGGCTCTTTCTCCTCAGTCACAGCTTTCTCCAGTTTCAGTCTGCTCAGAATCCAGTGGATTTTCTGAAATATCTATCCCTCCCAAGAAAGCTGCGAAGAAGAGCCCTCAGGGGACTCGAGGTGAGTTGTCGTTACATATCTTCTCATCTATATTTGTATTCTCTGTTTGCACAGTTTGCAGCTTTTATACATGATTTTTAATCTTATCTCACCTCAATGCATTTCAGCAAAACAAGCTCAGCATGTCAAAAGGCCAATTCAGATTGGCCCAAAGTTCTCCATCCAGCCCAAACCGCTGATTACAGCTGTGCCACTTGCTCCAGCAGCTGCAGCTTCTTTGCAGGCCAAAACGATCATCCTCCAGCCCCTGCAGACCACTGTGCTTCCTGTGGTCAAACCTGCGCGGGTCACTATCCAACGAGCGCCCCCTGCAGGTCAGAATTCACACTGCAGCACGTTAGACTTGCAGCCTTTCATTAGTCTTTTCTGCACATCAGACTGGAAACATTTGCAGGCTGAATGATTTTTTTTACTGAATTATCAATATCATACTTTATGCTAAATTAAAACGATGTAATTTAAAACTAATCTGTGTGGTGTTCGTGCATAAATAAAATGTAGGTTTACACTTGGCCAGTAGATGGTGCTTTAACCTTGGTTGACACTCTGCAGAGAGCCTTCGACTTTGCTTCATATTAAAATAGTAATCGTTTCATTTTTGGAAACAAAAGCATGTCCAAGCTTGGCTTGTAGAAATATTTTTGGAGTTTTAGTCAGCCAAAATAAACATACAATCAAAAAAGGTTGTTTTTAAAACCAACATGTAAAGAAAAACAATTATGAGCTGCTTTGTGGTTTGCTTTAAAGTCGTGATTGTTATTTTTTTGTGGTTAAGCCGGCCTGGTGATGTGTATTACTTCAACACTATCTAGGCCAGTATAAATACATATGTCATCACTTGGGACCCCAGTGGGTGGAGAATCTGACCTCTCTTAAGTGCATTTGAACTTGCTCTTCCTGTGTATGCCTGATATTGAGCAAAAGAGGAAATTCTTAATATCCAGATGGACGTCTGCTCAAGTTTGGTCAGTGTTATTTAAAATTTTTAACATTTCCAGCTGGGAAACGCATCTTTATTAAAAAACAAACAAACGAGATTCCAATCTGGGCAGCAATTTGTTCCTAAATAATGCACTCCTCAGTTTATGAATTATTTTTATTGATGGTAAACTTGGACACAGAAGAGGGTGCTGGCAGCAGATCTACCTCCACACAGTTAGCATTGGCAGGCTGTGTAAGGATGAAGATTGGTGAGTCAATTTGAGGAAAGGTTTCTGGCTCATAAGGGTTGGAGTTCACTGTTGGAGTCTTGTATATAAGCAGGACATCAATCAGTGTGGACATCAATGTGTTTTGTAGTTTTTCCTACTAGTTTATTTTTATTTTGGGCCCTAAATGTGGCCACACATGCATGTTTATGTGTTCGTGCTTGCAAGTCACTCAACACGCTTTGGAATCTGGAGGTTTAAAGCCACAGGTCAAGATGACAAACATTTTCACCGCCCGTACTTTAAACATAGGACCTGATGAAAGACAAAGATGTTGTTGTAGGCCACTAGAGGTTGAGAGGAATTGGAGAAACTGGACTGTACCATCTGCAGCTGGAGGTTCATTTAGCAGCAAACTTGTGTTAATTGTCTGGATTCATTTTTGATGTGAATCAGAGATTCCTGAAAGTTTTATGGGTGGATGGGGAGAGCTTAGCTAACGAGGTGGCTGTGGTTCAGGAAGAACCGTGAACATTTGCTACATGGAAGGGTGGTGGTTGAATCACAGCTTCCATGCCTCATGTTGAAGTGTCATTTCTAAAAATGTTGTTCTTTCTGAAGCGTAAAACTTTATAAAAGTTGTGTTTTTATTGCAATGAGCGTGGCACGTTTGTAGGCCCAGATACTATTTGATTACCATCATTTGACAAAGTGCAGTGTTTCCCCATCATTATTCAAGGAGGGCGCTCCGCCTACCAAATCCCCGCACCACTCCACCACTTCCAGACAGGGAGCGGAGATTGTAGCGGCTCAGCTCAGACTCTAAACTGTGCACAATGCAAACATAGCGCTCCACTATCTCTCACCCCCCCCCCCCCCCCACACACACAAGAAAGATAAATAAAAATAAATTATAAAATGTAAAAATAACTGCCTCAAAAAGCCTCAACCCAGTTAAACCCCTGCATATAAACCAATTATAACTTGCGCAGTTTGGTAAAATGCTCACGTGAACACATAACCATAGCCTGCATTAATCAGTGTTTTTCTTTCAGCGAACAGGAACGTATCATTTAAAAAATGTGTATGTGCTGTGCGTGTCACTCAGGTCGCCCCGTCATGTTGTCTCAGCCGAGCCCGTTACTACAGATCCAGACACATTGCGCCGTCCCTGGCAGTGTGGTTGCTATGCCAACGGTCAACCAGGACAAGCCTGTTCCTGTAGCTGCAGCCCCGTTGGTTTCTGTCGCACTTCGGACCCCTTCCTCAGATGAAGACGTGAGTCGATCAACACTGAGGTTTATACGCCTGGTTAAAGAGCGGTTATACACAATATCATTTGAGAAGTTGGTGTGGTTTTTATTTTTTATTTACTTTATTTACATTGCTGTAATTGGTTGACTAAAACCAGTCAACTTACCAAATACTTGTATGTGAGATTGAATATACTAATACTACACCAGTATTTCAAGCATCTTTCAAGACTCACCCTTGTTCTGTTTTCTGTAGACTTATGGTAGCCTAAAATAGACGTTTTTTTAACATGTTGTTATAATTCCTAATTAACCCGTTTTATTTTATTTTGTACTTATACTTAAAATAAGTTGTTACCTTGTTTGAGAAAGGTCTGTTAATTACAGAATGAGAAAATTTCCACGTCTCACTACAAGACCTGACAAAAAAAGTGATTGACCAAACAAAAAGTTTGGTCTCTCAGACCATTTTGTCTCACTGTGCATTTGAGATGCACGCATGCCTCCACTATTATCACTGTGATTGATCACAGTGGGAGGGGGAGTATCTGCCGCTCTGTTTGTCTACCTCCGTTTTGTAATTTACGGTTTGCAAGCTAGGTTGGTTAGAGGTTAGCTGCTTCCAGTGAGCAATTTAAACAAAAACTCTTCATTAGACTCTATCGTCCGCAGAGGTTGTGTTTGTATTTGTGGACCTGCTTGTGTGCACTTGCATGCACCTGCACAATTAAAAGTATCGTGCTCAGACAGCTGTGCATATACTTGCACTCTGTGTGACTATCAAGGCTCAAGCAAACTTTATTGTCATCTGCATCACATGTAAATGATGTGCAACAAAATCTTGTACTCAAGGTTCCAGTAACACCCAAAAATAGAAAAAATATAAAGTATATAAAAAGAAACAACACAAGGATTTAAAATATATGCTAAACAATAATAATATAATATAAATAAGGTGTATTAAACAGCAGCCTGAACATGAGTCTTTTTTTTTTAGATGGGTATGTATGAATACAGCAGCTTATGGGTAAGAAATCACCAGCATGGCTAATCAGCAGCATGGATAATCAGCAGCATGGATAATGAGTCAAATGTCCAGTTGAAGTGGCATTACAATGATTTGTCTGGTTGAGGATTTATGAGTCTTGCAGCTTCAGGGTAGAAGCTGTTCCTCAGTCTAGTGGTTCTTATAACAATGTGGTTTCCATAGTCACACTTTGACTGGGTCCATTCCTACTCAAACTCCCTCATGGCAATCTTTATGAGTATTTGCTTTTAGTTCATAGACCATTAACTTTAATTTTTGTTTAAGATGAAAAAATAAACTGTTAATGGAAAAGTACTCAAAAACCTTTTTATTGAATAATGGTACTTTTTTCACACAAATGGGAAATTGTTTACACTACGTGGACCATACGAGTCAGTTTAAACACTAATGACTATTTTGTATTATTCAGAACAGAAATAAAGTGTTTGTATTAGACTTGTACAAACCGGATTCCAAAAAAGTTGGTTCACTAAACAAATTGTGAATAAAAACAGAATGCAATGATGTGGAGGTGCCAACATCTAATATTTTATTCAGAATAGAACACAAATCACAGATCAAAAGTTTAAACTGAGAGAATGTATCATTTTAAGGGAAAAATCAGTTGTTTCCAAATTTCATGGCGTCAACAAATCCCAAAAAAGTTGGGACAAGTCCAATTTTACCACTGTGTGGCATCCCCCCTTCTTACAACACTCAACAGACGTCTGGGGACAGAGGAGACCAGTTTCTCAAGTTTAAAAATAGGAATGCTCTCCCATTCATGTCTAATACAGGCCTCTAACTGTTCAGTCGTCTTGGGCCTTCTTTGTCGCACCTTCCTCTTCATGATGCGCCAAATGTTCTCTATAGGTGAAAGATCTGGACTGCAGGCTGGCCATTTCAGTACCCGGATCCTTCTCCTACATAGCCATGATGTTGTGATTGCTGCAGAATGTGGTCTGGCATTATCGTGTTGAAAAATGCAGGGTCTTCCCTGAAAGAGATGACGTCTAGATGGGAGCATATGTTGTTCTAGAACCTGAACATAGTTCTCTGCATTAATGGTGCCTTTCCAGACATGCAAGCTGCCCATGCCACAAGCGCTCATGCAACCCCATACCATCAGTGATGCAGGCTTCTGAACGGGGCGTTGATAACAACTTGGGCTATCCTTGTCCTCTCTGGTCCGGATGACATGGCGTCCCAGTGTTCCATAAAGAACTTCAAATCGTGACTCATCTGACCACAGAACAGTCTTCCATTTTGCCACACTCCATTTTAAATGATCCCTGGCCCAGTGCAAACGTCTGAGCTTGTGGAGCTTGCTTACAAATGGCTTCCTCTTTGCACTGTAGAGTTTCAGCTGGCAACGGCGGATGGCACGGTGGATTGTGTTCACTGACAATGCTTTCTGGAAGTATTCCTGAGCCCATTCTGTTATTTCCTTGACAGTGGCATTCCTGTTTGAGGTGCAGTGACGTTTAAGGGCCCGGAGATCACGAGCATCCAGTAGACTTTTATGGCCTTGACCCTTACGCACAGCAATTGTTCCAGATTCTCTGAATTTTTTGATGATGTTATGCACGGTTGATGATGATAACTTAAAAGTCTTTGCTATTTTACGCTGGGTAACACCATTCTGGTATTGCTGCACTATCTTTCTGCACAACAATGGTGGAATTGGTGATCCTCTTACCATCTTGGCTTCTGAGAGACACTGACACTCTGAGAAGCTCTTTTTATACCCAATCATGTTGTCAATTGACCTAATTAGTGTTAATTGGTCTTCCAGCTGTTCGTTATATGCTCAATTTCCTTTTTCCAGCCACTTATTGCTACTTATCCCAACTTTTTTGGGATTTGTTTACACTGAAATTTTGAATCAACATATTTTTCCTTTAAAATGTTGCATTTACTCAGATTAAACTTTTGATTTGTCGGTTTGTATATGTTTGCATTTTGTAAGTAAATGACACATCTTCACTTGATGCAGCTGTATGTAAACATACAAATGGTGAACATGAGATTTTCAATTGTGGACTTAAAAGTGTATTGCTGTAGGTTTTTTGTACTCAGAGGTGTAAAATGCACTCTATTCTCTGCATTTAGTGTAATGGCAGTAAACACAACTGAGACTTTTAAGGAATTTCATAATATATGACTAACAATGACAGAGACTGCCCCAGCAAGTGAACAAAAAATGTAGCTCAGTGCTAGTCCCTTCAGTTCATGAGTGTATTTGTGGTCATTGTTTGAGTGCTGTAGCGTGGTGGTCAGTGCCGTAGTCTTTTAATCTTGAGGCTGCAGGTTTAAGTTGCACCAAGAAGAGCAACCGTCGTAAAACAACTGATAAATGTTTCATGAAAAGTAAGCTCTCTGTGGCAACCCCTGAAGAAGGGAGCTGCCACAAAAAACAACCTACCAGGTAGATGAGTCTAACAAGGTTGAGTCAGGTCCTCTGGACAGATTCTTTGTTGAAACGTTTCGTCTTTTATCCTAAAAAAAAATTTCAGTCTGAGGAGCTGCAACAAACTCAGCCTTTTCAAAGTGGATCAACCAGTTTGCACTGGACAGCCAAAACTAGCTGCTCACATGCAAAACGAAGACCATCAGCCTAATGATTGATCATTAGTGCCCTGATGGTTGCTTGCTATTCACAGAGGGCTGAGTCATACTAGCAATAACAGCATGTAACACGGTTGACCACGGAGACCCCCATCCCTGTTTAACGATGGGGCAGGGGCCTCCGTGTCCAACTGTCATCCTCTTCTGCCATTTAACGAAGCCAATTCAGTCAATAAAGTTGACAACATGTAATAAAAGGAGATGGAGGGACTAAGCAATGTAAATGCGAGAGGGGTAAAAATAGTACATTTTGAATTTGTTCACTTTGTTTCTCAAGAGAATGTAGTGGACGTTTTAAAATAAAGAACATTTTCATCACTTTGTGTAAGCTGCAAAAACATGTTGGAGGTCTTTGGTGGTGGTCATTATAAGAGGAGTGGGGATTTCAGTGTGTGTTCTGTCGAAAAAGCTGTTGATACGCAATGTGTGAGAGTGTATGTCGTGCTTGTACCCGCCACAGCTGTGTTCACTCAGTGTGGTTGTTAGACTTGTAAAATAACTTTTAAACTTGACATGCATATGCCAGGTGTTGCTGCAAGTTGCCTCCACTCTGCCTATGAGTGTCAGTGTTTTTGTACAGTACTGTACAGTGGTTCATATAATCCTGGGTGTTTAAACAGCTGCTGACAATTACATGCTTCAGGCAGGTGGCGTGAAGGGCGAAGCTTTTTTTTGACAGCTGTAAACAGCCATTAGGGGATTGGGTCAGTGTAATGGTGTAGGGTTCTACATTGCATGTGCATGACCTGTGTGTGTGTTCCTAACTGAATAATAAAAAATAATAATGCCATTAGTTGATTGGATGCTTCACAGGAGGGAATCCCAGGAGTTGTGTTGAGATCCTTAGGATGAAAAATGGTTTCAGAATTGTAGGCTTTTATTTCTTCTTTGAACTATTTTCAAAACTGGACATCTTCAAGACCGATAGAATAAAGGCTTTGCAAAGCTCAATTATTTTAACTACAAATCAAAATACCTGATTTTTTTTTTCACCCGAATTTGACATTTTAGAGTTACAATAAAAGCATCTTGATCTGTTGTGCCACCGTTTAGGATATGTTAATGATAAAGAACATCTGTCCTTCCTGAGTGACCCCGTAAACTCTGAAACTGTCCTTAACTGTGTTGTAACAGTCAGGCCCGTTGGGAGCTGATGTTTTTCTTGTATCAGTTTGTCTGAGAGATTCTGACTCTGCGGCTTCGTCCTCCTCTGGCTCTGCAGCTCCTCATCACGTTCAAAAATCCTCTAATTTTTTGACTCAAAAACACTAAAACTGACTAAACTAAACACTAAATACACTAAACTATAGAACCCCAACACGCTAAATATCACAAATCTCTCAAACCTCATGACTCACTCCCGCTCTCGCTGTGACTTTATTTTGCGCTGAACTCCATTCAACTTCTGCATCTTTTTCTTCTTCTTCCTGTAGATTTTTTGACGCTTGACAAATAACTTCAAGCCTCTGTCAGAATAGAGGGGGGCGGTTGTTTATCTGTTCGGCAGGGGTGAGAGGTGAAAGCAGAGGCTGATGGGGGTGTTTTCCCGAGACTGCCCATCTTTGCCGCAGCCTCTCGCTCTATAACACACTTCACATATGATGATGATTTTCAGAAAAAGATGTGGCGTGGATTATTTATCATATCTCTGGTTTTACTTGACCAATCAACACAATTAAAATACTGTGTAGCTTAAAGTCAGTATTTTAGACAAATTAAAACGGAGTCTCTGAGATGCTGTCATTCCCGCTAGAGCGACTGAAATCGATCATGTGACTATCAAGCGCCAGCGCATCGATTGGTTCCAAAGGGAGGGGAGGGATCATCAGTCAGAGTAGGCGGCACCTGACATTTGAGTGAGCAGTGAAATCGCCGCCTGTTATTGAGAAGGCAGCCTTGGTAACGGCTTACTTGTGGTGTTCCCACGCTTAAGCTGGTGGCACAGCTCCCAGTTTTAGACTGGGAGACAGATAGGTTTCTCAGGAGACTGAACAGAAATACAGCATTCCAAATAAGTTAATCACCAGTGGGGTTATTAGGTCCAGGATAATAGAGGCTTGCCCTTAGGGTAGAGTGAATGTATTTAAAGAAGGGCTGCAGAAAAGTGAGTTCTCTACGGTTGTTATTTTGCTGGAGGCAATAAAATGGGCAATGTTTGGGTTTGCCTGCAGAACTTTGATTTCAGTTCTCAACTCACTAATTTCAAGTGGAAATCAATTCAGTGGTTAGCTTTGTGCTCATCTACTCACAAATTTGTTTTCTATGTATAGTACATATTTTGTTTGTGCTTAGTTTATAGAAGCATTAGTATTATACAGTAATTATAATAATTATATAATTATAATGTAGCTGTTTTTGTCTTGTTTTTGCTGTTTTTGTTTCGTTTTTATATCATTTTTTTTATAGTTACTTTTCATTTGATGATTGTTTATTGTTATCTGTACCTCCTGTGTTATTTGAGTCCTCATGGCTCAATGAGACTAACCTGTATAAATAAAGGTTGAATGAATGAGGGGGGAAAAGGCAAATCTGTAAAGAAAAAGGCTGAAAATTGTCTGTTTATTTTCAGACTAACTTAGCATTAAGGACTCTAATTGTCGTAATTAGACTTGGCTATAGTTGAACTACACCCAGACCTATATAGTAGTATAGTTGTAGTCCCAGTGTTTCTGTGTTTCATGCAACCCCAGTTCTGAGAGAATAACACGCTTTATAAACAGGCCCTATATATTGCAAAGTCAGTGATTGCAATTAAACTCTTGGCCATTTTAGAAGATTTTGTTGTAAATGTTCTCATGCATGAGCTCAGATAGGTGCATGTCAGGGCCATTTGTGGCATAGTTAAGGCTGCAGTTTGATTCAGGTGTCCCCAACTTGGCAGCAAATGCCATTTTTGATGGAACTGAAACAATGGCCAGAACATTACTCTGGTGTGAGTAGCAAAGTAGATTTTTCTTTTTGTGCAGTTTTTGATTTTTTTGAAAAATGTATGTCTTTAGTTGTGAAAGTCCACAATTTAAACTAAATGGAAAAACTTTTCTATATGTAGTGACATTTACACAAGCACAATGTCATTCTAATGTGGAAAGCTTAATATCCACAGCCCAACAGGTGGATCAGGGATGTCTTTCTTTACTAACAATAACCACTTCTCCTTTGTCTTTGAATGTGTTTCAGTAAATGAAGGATAAATTACATGTTTTATTAACAGTAATTTGTCATTCTTGTCCACTGCTTGTTGTGTTCTCACATTAGTCAAAGTTGTCCCAGAGGCAGCAACGCATGATAAAGAACAGAGAGTCTGCGTCGCTGTCTCGGAAGAAGAAAAAAGAGTACCTGATTGCGCTGGAAGCTCGCCTGAAAGTGGCGTTGACTGAGAACGAGGCGCTCAAGAGCGAGAATGGCAACCTCAAGAGGCAGCTGGAGGGCCTGCTGAGTGAGGTGAGACCAGAGCCACTAATGCTTTGCCATGTCTGTTGAGATAAAAGTACATGAACATCTGTTAGATGCAACAAGGTTGAGAAGTAACAGAGTTGGCAAAAAGTGTTTTCATATACAATCCATGTCCGCAGTTCCAGATTGTGTTGTAAAGTTTCTCACTCTTCTTCCAGCAGAACACAGTACTAAAGACGACAGCACCTAAGAGGAGAGCTGTGTGCCTCATGTTGGTTGTGGTGTTCCTGGTGTTTAACATTGGACCAATGAGGTAAGTTGAGGACACTGAACATCTGTATTTTTTTCATGTGCTTTGAATAGTAATTTGAGTTGGTGGCCGTTGGCTGAAGTTGAGTTCAAACCAGAACAATGCAGATGATGGCTGAACACTAACTATGTCAAGGTGGATGCACATGGACTTCATTGCTGAAGGAAAACAAATGGGAAGCCAAGGGACTATTTGAGGGAATCTTTTTGCTGTTGGACATTAGACAGAATAAAAGAGCTTATTGAGAACAGCGCAGGGCTCTGTACTCGAGTGAAAAAGATTCAAAACACTGCTGCTTCGTAGCAAATATCAACTTTTTCCTCTTCAGAGGGTTAGAAAGACGTCATAAGTATGCTCCATTTTCAAGAGGCGATTTTTCTTACCATTGCTTGTAATAATAACTATTGTGACAAATTGTAATTTGTAAAATAAAACTGATTGAGGAAGGAGTGCCCGTTTCCATCCGGTTAACAGATGGAGGGATTGTGTAATTGCACAATCTAACTCTCACGGTTTACTTTCAACAATAATGACAGATTTTGTGTTTTCATTGAACAAAAATGTTTGTTTTCTGTTGAGACTAGCTTTTTCCACAAAGATGTAATCATCTACTCGCTGGGTCTGATAATCTGCTTGTGCTCTGTGCTATGAAAATGCTTTCACTTGTTTTCTAGACCTCCCAACTACAATCAAAGTTTCATGAGACCACTGATTAAATTTGCTCTTTGTGATCTTAGCTGTGATTTCAGAAACTGAAGTCTGCATGCCTTTCCTTTTGCTCACGCCATTGCTCTTAGTGTTGTGCTCTGCACTAGATGGTAAAATATGCACATGCTCACCCTGAGGTTGTACTGCTTTGAAATGCATCTCAGTTTACAATTAAGATCAGACTTTATAATTAACAGTTATAAAAAATAAGTCGCATAAAATTAAGAGGCCACCCTAGTTCTCATCTTTCATTTGTCTGCAAAGTGTCCTCATTTCACCTCATCTTTCTTTAACACAACTTTCTTATTGGCTGTGTCATCAGTCTGTTTCAGGGTGGCTCCAACTCCAACTTTGAGGTTTCTCCAGTGCAGCAAAGTGGCAGACACCTGTTGGGCTTCTCACCAGAGGCAGAGTCGGATGTGGTGGCAGGTCCCCAGCCCAGCAGCAGACCATCAGAAATGGCAAACAGGTATCAAGCCAGACCACAACAGTCACAGCGGGTTGTTAACCCACTATTTTAGTAGACCAGGATGCACCTGTGCTTGTGCTCAGTCTGCAGTAGTGCAGCTCATTTCAACATGTGTAAACATGCTCGACGTCTGATTACCAACTTTGTCTAAATGTCTGCTTTTTGAAAAGCTGCAGGTCCCCAGCTGGACAGCTGGTGCTTGTATTTTGAGTAACGGGTGGAGAAGGAGGCAAAGCCTTGTTTGACATGAAACATTATATATGTCTGTTTTTACAGGGGTTTACATATATCTTTTCTTAAAAAATAAATGTCTCCAAAGCCCAGTGGAGACATTTGAAAAATTGCATACATAACATTCCTGTTTGGCTCATTACCTAAACCCATATATCATGAAAATAACATTTTGCAAGGTGGTCAGAGCATCTAAATGTCTCCACGGCATTGCTGAGCTGTGTTGTGGTAGGGTGTAGGGTTTGCCATGTGTCGATGCAAGTATCGGGTTCCCCAGCAGCATTTAACCAGCACAGGCAGGAAGGAACACATTTAATTTTACAAAAGGAGAAATTATACCAAACTCATAATTAAGGGGGAGAATGCAAATTAGGGACTCACTGAGCAGGACGTTGTATGTGTGCATATTGGGGGGAATATTTGGGCCCATCGGTTAAAGCTGTGATCCTGCTTCAGTTCTCTGACATGCTGTCTTGTGTAATGGTTTCTGTGCATTTAGAAACAGGAAGAAAAACCCCTGCAAGGAGACCCAGGGGAAGGATTATGTTGTTGGAATGTGTTTTTCTTTACAAGCACCCCTCTGGTGGGCAGTCTACATCAGCACCTCAAGCATTTTAATCATTCACCTTCTGAAAAGTGTTATCATTAAGGTCAAAGTCAGAGTAATATTTGAGAAGGAAGATAATGCCAGTGCAGTGTATGGGAACAGTTCTGACTCATTGGTTGTTGTGCTCATCTGTTGCTGTCAGACTAAAAGTGAGCTGTGGCTTCTTTTGTCTTTAGCATTTTTACCATAATTATACATGATTTAATGCATCGTCTGCCTCTGTGCTTAGCTTTGGGATTAGCTTTGAATTTATGTTCATGCAATGTGCTCGATAATAAAGTTATTTTACCTCTGCAAACGTCAAACAAAAATAAAACTCAATCGTGCAGGTTTTTTTCCTTTGAGACCATTCAGATCTATTTTTGTATTACTGAATCCTCATCGGGTGGTTAACCCACTAAAAATGAAGACATTCCTTTGTGTATGTTTTGCTGTAATGGTGTCAGATTTTATTTTCAACTCAGCTTCTATGATCTTTTTACTCTTGTTTTAGTGTGGAGGACAAGGCCCTGATGGTTGTGAAAAGTCCCATCTTTCTCAGACCGCCTCCCCCCTGTCAGCCTTCAGTTAACAGGACCAAGTGCATTGAGTAAGTAATAAAATGTTTTATATCCTACAGCAGTGAGGGCTTTTCCCACTCTTGCACAAGAATGCAAAATCACTCCATTTTTACCTGAAGTTTTTAAAATAAATACAACTCTGTTAACTTGGCAGGTTAGCTCATGAGTTGAAGGGTTGGGTCCATCGGCATGAAGAGCAGCAGACCAAATCCAGGCCCACGAGCAACAGCAACCTCAAATCCAGAAGGCCCATTTTGGTAAATGCTCTGAGCTTGTTGTCCAAAACAGGAATACACATTCATTAATATCTTACATATCATTACCTGGTACATTTCCTCTCACAACTTCATTTTTCTGAGCCTCTCATTTCTCATTTCTGGGCTGAGTTTAATCCCTGAAAAGTTAATATGACACTTCGTAGGATTTGTGCCCCCTGCTCCTTTTCCATCATTTTGTATTACCCAGATCTGTCACATTAAGTTCAATCTCCTCAGAGCTGCCCAGTGTACCCATAATTATATAGCTATAAATAGAACAGGTGGCCGTGTTTACATCTCATTGTGTTTAGCAGTGGGACTCAGAAACTACCTGGTTGTTTAATGACTGCGGAGTGTTAAAATGGGCTTCCACTTACTGCAAAACTTTATGTATTTCATAGTGTACTTGTTTTTTTACATGTGAAGAACTGTTAAAGTTATACAAGAGTAAATTAGCTCACTTTAAGCACATGTATGTTTTTAATATTTAATAATAGCAATGGTGTGTTTCTGTATTTATTTATAATTAAAAATAGCCAGCACAGTGTCCTTCTCCCTTGAATGGTTAATGTGTTTGTTCAAAAACATGAGCTGCTCTGACATTTCTGCCCACAGAAAACAGAAACAACAGAGGCTGACAGAGCTGAAATTGTGACCATCCCATACACAGAAACTGCTGAGAAGTGAGTAAACGCTGTTTCCTGTGCATTTATATTACTCGCAGGAGAAAAAATTCCTTTTTTCAGAGTTTTATGTTTTGTCTTTAAGCAAACTTAATGTGTTGAATTTTTTGCCTCTACATTGTCTAGTCCAGCTCTAGACGTGAAGTGGTGTGTTTAATATCTACCGTAATTTCCAGACTATCGAGTGCACCTGAATATAAGCCGTGCCCACTCATTTTAAAAAGGAAAGAAAAAGAAGTACATATATAGGCCACACTTGTCTATAAGCTGCAGATTTCCACGATGTAACATGAGATATTCACACAGAAATATTTTTTAAACATTTTTAAATATTGTTTTTTTGTGTGTGTGAACAGTGCACAGCTGGTTAAAAAAATACAGTAGCCTAGCAGGAAGAGTCACTGATCGCCATGTTCATCTTCCTCCTCTGCACTCAAACCACTAAAGTCGTCGTCTTCAGTGTCAGAATTGAACAGCCTCGGAAAAACCTCATCGCACACGTCCTCCGTCTCTCTTTCGTTGTCGCGCTCATCATCACTTTCATCTTGAAGCAAATTTGCAATTTGATTTACGATTCACACTTATTTCGAGCGGCTGCAAATACTTTGTTCTGCTCCAATGTGGGGGGGTGGGAGGGGATTGGTGCACTGTGGCCTTTTCTGTAATTTCATTGGTCAGATTTTTTTAACCTTTATTTATACAAGTAGCCTCGTTGAGTCACGAGGACCCACCCCCCAAGAGAGACGTGTATTGGGCAGCTATATGTGCACCCGGGTGTGACGAAGCTAAATGTTTTGGTGGCATGAAGCTCGCTAACCCGTCCAAAACAAATGCAGTGTTCAAAGCGTGTAAAAAAAAAAGTAGCGGCTTATAGTCTGATAATTACGTTAATTTTAAATCCATATTTTAGTTAAATTGATATTAAAATATTTGATATTTGTCTCTTAAGTTGTGGACATTTTACAATGGCTTATTTATCATGCAATGGTTTGAAAGCTAAGTTTCGTGCTCTGCTTCACAGGTTTGTCAGTTCAACACCAACAGTTCTGCTCTGCACTGTTGCTCACACAAAATGAGTCACATGTTTATTTCCTGTCATGACATGTTAATATGTGTGAACATAAAACAGGAAAATCCTCTCTTCCCTGTGCAGGCCCTATATTTTTCAGAGTGACCACAACATTTTTTGATTTTGTTTTGCCCAATAATTGTAGCTTACAACCAAATCTTTAGTTTCTCAAGTGTATAATTGCACTGAATTCTAATAAGGTGCAATAATTTACGTTAATGTCCATTATCAACTTATTCATTATGATTGTTTGCTAAGTCAAATAATGTTTTAATAATGTTCCCATTCATTTGTCTGGCAGAACTATCACATAGGATTCATTGATCAAATATCACAGCTTGTGATCAATCGTGCTCAGCTTTGATTTGTAAATGAAACATCAGTTCATTTCCTGTTACCTTGTTGTCTGCACACTCTGTCAGAGTTTAACAGTGTTTATCTGCATCTCCTCAACAGGACTCCAGGCAGCGAGCTGCAGGTTTATTACGCCCCCCAGCACACCTACAGCGACTTCTTCGATGAGCTCAATCGTCGCGCTGACACTTTCTACGTGGTGTCTTTTCGTAGGGTAAGTTTGGACTCGCCTGGTGCGTGACTGACTCAGATCTGGAAGAGAAACAACTGCTGGCTTTCTCACAGTCTGACTCAGGTTTTCAATAAATGAAATGAAGCCAAAGTAAATCAGGCTTTTAGTGGAAATTATGTTTTTTTTCTTTTACATCTTTATTCCATTTTCGTCATAGTTGTTCAGTTTATTGAACATAATCATTAAAAGACTTGAGTAATAGATTATTTCAATGCTGATGTTAAAATCCTAAATAACAAAGAGGTCTCATTTAAGAGCAAAGGGTGGAGCTGCACATGTGCAGTTGTTTCCACCGGCGTGGTTTGGTCCATTTGCACTTGTTGTATTTTCTCTGTTAGATTTTGTTTTTCTAGTGAGAAAATTTGAGCCATATGTTCAGGCACCATGTCCGTTTTTCATTTAACATAAAGGTTTTGCTGTATGTTGTCATGGTGACAATGATGTAGTTTAGTTTAAGGCCCTTTCAGGTTGTTTCCATCTTTTAGTTCATTGCACAAAGATTAATCTTAAATTGTTCCCAAAGCAAGAACTCAAACTTTGTGTCAACATTATTATAGTTTTAATAAGAATTGCTGAATATCAAATAATCTGAGTTATTCCTTCCTAAAATTCTGATCAAGTATTGTTTTATCAGTTTATTTTTTTTACATTTTTTAAGTATATTGAGCAACTACAGTAAACAAATACATTGTTGCTTGCTTTGCAGGCTTCTTTCTGAACTATCAAATCATTGATGGTGATTAGATTATCATCGTTTTTATGTTTTGACTAATATTCAAAAGTCCAAATATAATCAAGTTTGGTTTATCAGTTGTTCAAAAAGGTTGATTAGTTTTGTTTTGGTGACATTTTTTATTTGATTTTTCTGATGAATGAAAGTCAGTATTCCTTAATGTATTTGTTTGACTCTTTCATATTTCAAGAAAAAATGTGAATAGCAATTAAAAATCGGACTAACTTACAGGAGAAACCAAATGAAAACTTTGTACAGAAACTTAAAAATAACTAAATATTCCCATATAAATAAAGATTGCAGGCTTGTTGTTTACTCTGAAACTTTATTGTGCAGCATTTTATAACCTTTTTTAAGAGTTTTTTTTTTGCTTTTTGTTTCCTGGATTTCAGTAAGTTGGTGCGTTTGTTTTGTTCCAGACTTCATTACGTCAACACAAGTCAGCCAAACTCTCGATTAACTTTGTTTAAATTAAGCCGAGCACCACCCATGGCTGACTTTTGTCCCTCGAGGTGTAATTGTTCAGCAGGGTTTGTTCTGGCCCTGTCCAGCAGCCAGAGTCGCTCTGAGCAGCATCTTGAATTAGGTTTGGATCAGACAAATAGTCGTGCTTATGTTAAGGTTGCTGCAGGCCATCAAATTTACAACCTGTGTGTTTATATAGAGGTCAAAAGAGGTGACGCAATGGAAAACCCAACCCCCATGAAGAAAAAACACCAAACTCCTGTTTGTTATTTCCAGTTTTGCAGCACTTTTCATGTTTTAGCACTAATGGCTTTAAGCTGATGTGCACTAAGATGAAGCTGTGGACACGCTGCTAGTTTTTACTGTCAGGAAGCTCGAATGAAACATCATTCATTGTCGAGAGAGCTGCAGCTTGTGTGTAGTTTTGACCAGCTTGTTGGTTAGCTGGTGTTCTGATGAAGATGAAATGTTTTCCGGCCTCCAGCTTCTCTCTTACAGACGCTTCTCATTTTTACATCAACTGCTTATTTTGGCTTGCATCCCTTTTTTGTCTTAAACGAGTGTGAACCTAGAAGACCACGTGCTTCTTTCAGAAAAGAAGCAACGTTAAGACTCAGTACCCCCACACCCCCAGATTGCCTAAAACGCCTGGAAGAATCACACCCAAATATAATTTAACATAACAGTAGTCCCTCGTTTATCACGGGGGTTACGTTCCAGACATCCCTGCAATAAGTGAAAAACCGCAAATTCAGAACGTTATATTTGTTTTAGTATTTATAAATATTTTAAGGCTTTCTAAACCTTTCCCACACTCTTGCAATATTGTAAACTCTTAAACCTACATAATTTTAACAACATACGTACCGTATATGTACTGCACAGTAGCTACGTACTGCAACATTTTATATGGGGACTCACCAGCCTTGGTCTGGTTCTGATCGGCTCTCTGCATCCACTGAGCACCAAAGTCACTATTGCCCCTTTTCCACTGTCACAGAGCGGATCAGATCAGTTCGGGTTGGTTCAGATCGGTTCGGGTCTGTTGTGTTTCCATGTACATTTCTGGACCAGCTCTGTAGGCGGGGACTAGAATCCAACTCGTCTTACCACCTGGTGGCGGTAGTGCTCCCTTAAGCTACTTACTAGCCACCACTAAACGTATTAGAAGAAGAACACCCTGAAGGTTTTGTCACACGATGTTGTGGAAAAGATGTCATGCTCTAATGGAGTACCTCATGAGCTGTAACTTTAGACCTGATTCATAATCCTACCTTACTGCCTTCCCTGCTGCTTTAAACCCATGTGTTTTTCATTTTAGTATAGATTTTTACAATAAAGATGTATTAAAAATATCTTCACTTTTATTATTTGCAGATATGCACAAGGTTCATGTTAAAATTGCAAAACATCACACTGTGCTGTAATCTTTGAAACTGCTTTTACAATCAGATACAGACTTGAAAACAATTAGATTAAATTTTGTCCTTGAATTTTAAAGATTTGTCTTTCATTAAATTAAAACATAAATTTATTACTTATTAATCTAAAAAAGTTAAGTCTGGTCCTCTGGACATTCAAAAAACAAAACTAACAAAAAACATTTAGTTTATTTATTATGAACTGTATTGTTTGTTTTGTGAATGTCCAGAGGACCAGACTTAACTTTTTAGATTTTTCTACCTGGATTATTGAGCAGCATCAGGATATTAATTAATAAATAGTCAGTTGGTCTGTGAACACCATGGGATCCTAGAAGAGTTGAAGAGGAGGCTGTTCATGTCTGTGCCTCCCTGGTGAAGATGCTGCTCCCACAACCCTGAAGCAGAAGAGGATGGATGGATGGATGGATGGATGGATGGATGGACGGGTGGCGAAGGAGGAGACCATCAAACAGCAGGAGTGGTCAGTTCAGGTGAACTCCTGCCTGTTTGCTTCAGATCAGCTGTTCAAATCTCTGCAGGTTCAAATAAAAGGTGCACCAGGACTTTCAGCTGAATCTCTCAGGCCACAGTTGTATGGCCAATAACTGATAACTGTCCTTTCTGAATTTTTGACTGTTTTTGTGTCACTTCATCCTAGAACCAAAAAATTATAACATAATAACAGTTGAGCAGATACTAGTAATCTTTTCTTAGGATCCATTAAAGATCAAATGCAATTGGAAATTCTTCTCAATTCCAGTATGAATTTAAACAAACACTATATGAACTTAACATTGTAAAATTTGTTTAGGAAATTTAATGTTCAAGGACACCACTTAAGAAAAAAATTGTTTAATCGGAAAAGTAAGAAGTGAAAAATGTACAAAAATAAAAACTACTGCGTCCAACTAATGATTGTGTCTGTCCCTCGTCTCACGGGCTTCATCCAGAAGAAGACACAAGTGTTGTTCCTGCTGTGTCCGGTTCAGTTCTTCATGTTCATTCAGTGATGGAATAAGACTTTTCTTTACTGGACTCTTTTCTCTTTCTCTTCACTAGAAAGAAGAAACAGGTGGTTAATTCAAGCTACATACTGTTTTTGAATAAATGCATGAAACAAAGAAAGGTGCTGCTAACAGCTATAATAGATATATTAATAATTATAAACTGATCAAATAAGAAAATGAAAAATAAATTGATTTAAAAATAATGAAAATGATAATAATGGATATATGAATCAGAAAGTATTATACAGATGCAGATATTCTTTGTCATTCGCACCACATGTGGTCCATGTGGTGGATCAAAATTATGTTCACAGGGTCCCAGTTACATCCAACAATAAAATATAAAAGAAAAACAGTAATAAGATCTAAGATATGAACTAATAAAAACATCAACTAAAAATATAAGCTCTAATAGCATAAAAACATTAAACACAATACGCAGAACAGCAGCACGGACATGAGTCTGTGTGAACAGACGAGCACGAATGAACACAGCAACATGAAACAGATCAGCAGCAACATGAAACAGATCAGCAGCAACA